CCCTAGGGCCTGGGATTCTAGAGGGCTGCCCCTGACAAACACAGAAGCAAAGGCCGCATTCAGCAGCTCTGCTTTGTCTGTGTTTTCCGCAACCAGGGTACCCACCCCATTCACTAGTGGTCCCACGTTCTCCCTGACCTTCCTTTTGTTATTGATATATTTGAAGAAGTTTTTCTTGTTAYTCTTAACATCCCGTGCCAGATTCAATTCCAATTGTGCCTTGGCTTTCCTTGTTGCATCCCTTTTGATAGATTGTTTGGAAACATGGGAAAAAAAAGCTGCACTATTCTGATATTGTCAAAGGATATTGCGAATYTCTGATATGGATTCCCAATAAATCTAAGAGAAAACTACTCACAATAATAAGGTTGTCAAAATAGGAGTAGTAATGTGAAAAACTGAGCATCACCAACAACTTTGTCCATGAAGTTCAAGACTGCAGCCTTATGGTCCCTCTATGTCCTTCCTAGTTCCATGCAGGCAAGCCTCAAGTCTTCACTTTGGGATAGCATTGACTCTTAAAGCCCAAGTTTTGGCCCAGATCCCCTGCTGATGTCACCTTTTCTGTATTAATACTATCTTCTACCTGCTCAGTGCTGATTTTCAACACACTTGTTCCTAAAGATTTTTTATGAGGCAGWTGTGCATCTATGTCTCAGAGATAGACATCTCATTACATCTATTCTACAGGGAATACTTGCACAGTCAGTGAGCAGTAACACTATTTATTTATTGGTAGAGTTTGCTTCTTCCCTTGGCTCTGTTGTTGTTGTTGCTTATTGCAGCCTACTAGAGCACGGCTTCTGTGCTGTTGACTTTTTAGCTTTTGCTAATTCTGACCAGGTTTTTCTTACTTACCATTCCTGTTCTTTTCAGCTGAGTCTACCAGCAGATGTTGGGCTGTTCATCTTTTAGAAGTTTATAAAATCATAGTATCAGAAAAAAAGTGTTTGAGAACATAAGATTCAGTGGGGTATCCCTTCTCAGAAGGCAATATTGTTATTGGTGTTAAAAATATCAGTCTTTATCAGGACCACACTGAGGGGAAATTTGGTTTGCTGATCCCATCTGAGGGTCTGGACTTGGCAGCACCTTGTAAGTCCTTTCTTAAATCACAAAAGTGGTTTTTCTTTAATGGCAACTGACAAAATATGCAAGTGTGCGTACTATGCCATGCAAGGAGTGAAACTGCAAGTTTGAATTATTCACAGTATCCTTAGCGTACTTTTCCACTGACAGCAAAATTTAATCTCAGTGTCAGAAAAACATGATACTCAATTACTAATGGAAAAGGTTTTGTTTTTTTTTTACTGTAGCAGAAACTAATTACTTGTCTGCCTTTAGCAGTAGTGTGGTAAATTCAGATAGACAAGAATGAAGCTCTGGACAGGGAACTGAGTTCTCTTGCCTGTTTTGACTTACTCAAAYAGATGAAAAAGAATAGTCTATTCTGAACTAAATTTCTTCTTTCAAATTTCTTTTTTTTTTATTTGTTCCAATCCAGGTGTATAGGAATTCAAGTGAATATGAAAAAGAAATTTCACAGTAGAAATTTATTAAAGACTAGAAATAAAAAATACCATGACTTCTTGTCAGCAGGAAGTAACTCAATCTTATTTCAACAGAACTTCATTAGTCCAAATTGAATTCCACAATATGATGTGACTGTACATACTAATTCAGACAAAATTATATACAACATTAATTGAAAGCAAATTTAAGTACTGCATAAATACAGCATTATTTAAATGCAACATTCATTTAAAATGAAATTATAGCCATAAACGAAAACCAAAGCACTTTATTTTAACTTTCTTTMTTTTACTTCTCTTTTCCACATAAACAAAACTGAAACTGCAGTCATTAAATTTACATTTAGATGAGGCTGAATTTCTACTGACAAAACACAAAGCTTAGTAAATATCCGTTAAGAAGCGGAATGAACACCAACTTCACCAAAGACTTGGAGGTGCTTTGGAGAGTGATGTGCTGAAAGTCTTAATTTTCACAGCAAGTCTAATATCCCTTTTCATGGACAGCTCAGATTTAAAGCCTCAGTGCCGACATGCTCTGATGTTCAGTTACTAATATGAAGAATGCTTATTAAAGCAAAAAAAAAAGCAGTCATTTTTAACTGACATCAAATGGAAAAAAAATCAAAGTGTGTCAAATGCAATTAAGTGGAAAAAAATAGTGATATGCATACAAAGTTGCTAAGATTAAGAGAAACAGGACTCCCATTGCCCCTCACTGAGTAAGCCCGAAAATTTTGCAGTGTCTTTCACACAGCCAGTGTCCAATTTTCAGTAGTGTCTGTCTGTCTGGTAACTGTATGTGTCTGTCTGTTGCTTCTCCATGATTTCCACTATATTGGGTAAAGGCCTGGCAGAAAAAAAATAGTTTCATAGATATCTCTTTCAGGTTGGCAGTAGCTTTATTTTCCTTCTGGCCACGAATGCCATTTTATATTAAACTTCTTGTCAGCAGGAGGTAACTCAAACTTATTTCAACAGAACTTCATTAGTCCAAATTTAACCTCCATAACCTCTCCTATCACATTACATGAAATGGCCCAAAACTGTAAAGCATGTGAGACATCTGAACCTAGAAATGCAATTATGCTGTCTAAGGGGATTATATCCTGCGGCCAAGGCAGCTTGTCGAGTCCTGGGACAGATCTGTTTGCTACTTACAGGGACAGAGAAGCCAGTAGACTGGAACATTGCTGCTGCATTTGCTCTTCCAGCCTCGTGTCTGCCTCTGAGACAGACTGGGAGATTCAGGAAAACGTGGCCTCTCAAAGCATGGTCCCTGGTTATGGTTTTTCAGCCTCTGAACCTACAGGGAGGCCCGTCATTTTTCAGTATGTTACCTACCACCGTTGACACTTTCTGCAACGCTGCCTAGGTGAGACCTGCCTTTGGGCATTGCTTTGCATAGGAGAAAAAGCAACATATAGTCAGCCATGCACAASTATCTTTTGAACATATCTTATTCTTTTCTTTCTATCATTTATTCTTTCTTTTTCCTTCAGTAAGTGTTTTGATTCTTTGCTGATATTTCCCTAGCATAGTACAGTTGTTAGCTGAGTGTGTGAGCACAAAAGGCAGGATGATGTGTGACAGGCTCTGTAGAAGACAAAACAGAAACAAATGCCGGAGTTTCTGTTGATGTGATGAAAAGAAAAAGTAAAAGTGAAAACTGCTCTGGTTTTGCTTTATTCTTTCCTATTTTCCCCCATTTTCACCTTGTCTTCTTTTCTCTTTTCTGTGAAAGAAAAGGAGGCAAAAGGGAATTCAGGATTTTACTATAACCTGCCATCACCCTTTCTGTAGTATTACTCTATCTGCAGTCTGACACACCTGCATTTTAGGGCAGGATGAAGCATTTGGAGTGCAGATGTTATCTCTGGMTGCTGACTACAGAGGGAGATTCAATGAATACCATGAACTAGATACTTCTTTTCAGTTGTCCAGGATGGGGGGAAATGGATTTTATCCCCCATAAATAAAAGGGACATAATTTTTCCACATATTTTAATCTAGAGAAATTTAATTGTGGTCACTTGAAGGAAAAAAGTACTGATTCGTCAGTTGGCTGCTGTCAAACTTATAGGCAAATGCACAAATTATCCCTGCCTTCCTTTCAGGGCAAGCAAAAATTGATCTTTTCTTCTCCAGCTACCTGTCACTTTTCATGAAACCTCTAGGAATGTACTTATCTTCATGATTCTCTAAAAACTGAGCTGAAATTAGTCGATTATTCAAAAATCACTAGAATGAAAAGAGGAAAAACTGACATACAGATGGTGAGATGGACAAAGAGAAAGCCTTAATCTTTGCATAAATGAGGATGCTTTTGTTAGTGAGGCTGGAAAAAGAAATGAAGAGAGTGGTAAGAGTCTGTTTATAAGCCTTGCCATATATAATCCAGCGTTCGGATTTAGAGGGTAGATGTAGGGAAGAATGTTGAGCTGGAAATGTCCTTTGCATTAAAATGGCACGTGTATATGCAAAATATCAAATTTAATAAGAGTATAGTGCTGTTGTTCATCTCATAGTGTTGCACTGTGGAAAACTGGCATTCCAGTGATATTCGAGTCTGCATCTAAAAAAAGGAACAGYAAATAAATCAGATCTTTAAAGGATTTGTTTATATTTATGCTAAATAAAAGCAATATGACAAAATGTTAGTCTGMTGCTGAATGGTGAGAGTGCCTTGGTGAAGGAGGATGCAGAGAAGGCAGAGTTAACTAAATGCCTCCTTTGCTTCTGTCTTTACTGCTAAGGCTAGTCCYCAGGTATKGTAGAGCCTTAAAATAAGAGATAAACAGGAAAAAGGAGAACTTTCTGCTGGTCAAGGAAGATTGGRTTAGGGATTATTTAGGCAAACTGGACACCCATAAATCTACTCAGTTGGGATGCACCTGATGAAGATGATCAAGGAAAACAAGGTGATAAAGAGTAGTCAGCATGGATTCACCAAGGGGAAGTCATGTCTTATGAACCTCCTACGATGGGATGATGGGGTGGTCAGACAACGGGAGAGCCATGGATGTTGTTTACCTTGACTTCAGAACGGCGTTTGACACATTCTCCCATAACATCCTCATAGGAAACRCCCAGAAGTGTGGGTTGGGTGAGAGGGCAGTGAGGTGGATTGAGAACTGGCTGGATGGCAGCTCAGAGGGTCGTGATAAATGGAGTCAAATYTAGTYGGAGGCCTGTGGCCAGYGGTGTCCCACAGCTGTTCAACTTATTCATCAATGACCTGGACGAGGGTAYGGAGTGCACCCTGAGAAAATTTGCAGATGTTATCAAACTGGGTGGAGTGACTGACGCTCCAGAGGGCTTCACTGCCRTTGAGAGGGACCTGAATAGATTGGAGAGTCGGTCAGAGAGGAACCTCATGAGGTTTAGCAAGGACAAAGGCAGGAGGAATAACCCCAGGCATTAGGACAGATTAGGAGTTGATCTGCTGGAAAGAAGCTCCGCCACAGAGAGGGACCTGGGAGTCCTGGTTGACACCAAGTTAACCATGAGTCAGCAGTGTGCCCTCGTGGCCAAGAAGGCCAATGGCATCCTGGCCTGCATCAGGAGGAGTGTTGCCAGCAGGTCAAGGGAGGTGATTCTGCCCCTCTCCTCAGCTCTGGTGAGGCCGCACCTGGAGTATTGTGTGCAGCTCTGGGCTCCSCGGTACAAGAGGGATGTGGAGCTTCTATAGAGGGTCCAGCAGAGAGATTAAGGGACAAAGACGATTAAGGGACTGGATTAAGGGATTAAGTATTTTATAAAGAAAGACTAAGTGAGCTGAGCCAGTTTAGACTAAAGAAAAGAAGACTGAGAGGAGATCTCATCAATATGTACAAGTATCTGAGGAGAGAATGTAGGGAGGAGAGAGTCAAACTCTTCTCAGTGGTGATCAGTGACAGGAAAAGGGGTAATAGGTGCAAGCTGCAACACAGGCAGTTCCATCTCCATGTGAAGGAGGAAGAACTTCTTCACTGTGAGGGTGCCAGAGCCCTGGAACAGGCTGCCCAGGGAGGTTGAGGAGTCTCCTTGTYTAGAGGTCTTCAAACCTTGCCTGGATGCCACCCTGTGACCCGTGCTCTAGGTGTCCCTGCTGGAGCAGGGGGTTTGAATTAAATGATCCCTAGAGGTCCCTTCCAACCTTAACYATTCTGGTTTGGTTAACCAGAATTCTTTGATTCTATGGATTTAAATAACTAACCAGTAATGATAAATAGTAAAAAATTAAATAGGATATGTGTGCTTTCTCTCATAAATCTCTCAGAGAATGTAGTATTTTCTTTTCAATTATCTGCCTCACCCAGGCTTCGTTTTAAGATATTTACAATAATTTGTTAATCTGCAGGTTTCMCATAGCCCAGAAAAATCACTGAAATGATTTCTATGAGACAAGTATTTGAACTAATTCAGAGTTGTATTTTTTTCTAGGGTGTCCGCAAGCAATCCTCAAAGAGTCCCTGGGGACCTCACCACCTATTACTCTTATAGCTCAAAAGATAAATCCTTGTGTCATGGAGCTGTGCAGATTTTTTCAGCTGTGCCTCTGCGTTAGTCGAAGAAGATATTCAAGAAAGGAAGCCATGAGGTAAAATCTTGCACTAGTTTCACTCTGTCTTAAAATACTCTACAGTACCTTTTCAAATTACAATTTTCAACCACCATTGCTTATTTCTGAGAGMTTAAGGATACTGGCTGAGTCCTAAATGGGTCCCCAAAGCACTGAAAGATACCTGATTTGACTCCCACTATTTGGACTATGGATGAATAAAGCTCAGCTATTTTTTCCCAAGTATCAGCTATTTTTTTCCAAATATCTAAAGTGAAGTCAGAATACAGCTCTTAACTTCTGTCTTCAAAGTAAAGTATTGGCAGCATGCTGTAGATATAGATAAATTTATAAAAGACGACACGACATTAATCCCTTAATTTGAACTATGTCTTTAGGTATTGTGTTGAATACTATTCCTGGTTCTTGAAAAATGCCAGTTATGTTTGTGAAAAAGTGAAAAGGATGGCTTATTCCCAGAGTAAGTATGTATTTTTTTCTTTATATTTCTACATACTCCATTATGTGAAAGTGTAACACAAAGCTTTAAACATTCACGGAGTATCTCCTCTGTTTCATTAGACAGATATTTTATCTGATGGTGATTTTTAAGAGATTAAACAAACAATAGATATACTTCACTTTCTTGTCTTTTTTTTTAATATTCTTCTTGTAAATTCTTGTCTAAGTACAGTTTTCTTTTGTTTTTCTAGCATTAAAGCAAAAATGTCTTGCAAACATCTGTAAATCTATCTAGAATACTGAGGAATTTTACTGCAAATGAGAAGATTCATGACAGTTTTAGTATCCTCATTTCTCAGTGTAAGAAAAAAATCAGATTGCAATATGTTATTTTCAAATATTTGTAACAAGACAAGCTATTAACCAGATGTTTCCTAGAAATGCTTTTCCCTCCAAGGCATTGTAATAATGATGTGTAAAAACAGATGAATTTTATACAAATAATGTAACTGTAATAAAAGCATTGAAAGGATTTTTCAAATGGTGTTTAATAAAGGATATTTATGAGGTTGTCTCATGCCTCATGATTTACATGTCTCATGTAAATATTTACATTTATAATTACAATAAATTCATCAAGATGAGCAAATATAAAATAATTTAAAAGCAGCCTAAGTATTGAACAAAATATATATTTTATATTTTTGTTCTGTTTTCTTCTGCTAGGCTTAAATCCATGCAGATTGTTCATTATTCCAAGTCAAGATTTTRGCCACTCACCTTGTAAGAGCTCAACCAAAGAAACATTCACATCTGTTTTATACTCAGTCTGTGATGATTTGTGTATGAGCCACAATTCTGTTTTTACAGGTGCCTTTAATGAACCAAAAGCCAATTCTAATAAAAGAAGTAGCCCACCAAATTGTACAATCCTCTATTTTGCTACCTTGTGGCATAGCACACACACATCATCAACCCTGCTATATCATCAAACCACTAACGGTGCCAGTAAGAGCACTTGCGCTACTACTAGCACACACTGAATCTAGAGGTTTTGTTGAAGAAATATGTGTTCAAAGTAATGTAAAGTCAAAAGGAAAGGTGACACCATAAGAAACGTCCCGAAGGAGAGATGTGACACAGCAATCTTCTTCCAAAATACTATTGCGCCCCATAACATGAAAGCAATGTAAAGCATGTTGAAGTGTAAGATAAATTACAGTACTATCAGTTACAGTTGTTATTGCAAGTCATCAGGCCAGTAGAAGGAGTAAGAATCCTGAAATGAGGAAGGTATAAATTGAAGAGCATCCGATTTTGGAGAGCATGGCCATGCAGTTACAATTCTTGGGAAAGATTCCCAATGTCACTGTGACATTTCTCCTTACTCACAGCAGGTTAAGTTTTGTTGTGAAGAGCTGAGTGAAGAGCAACTTGGTGGAATTGCTGCTTTTAAATCTCAYGGAAATATTTTAAAACCTGAAAACTGGGCTTTTTTTTCTTTTTCTTTTTTTCTCCCTTTTTTAAAAAATACATATTATGTTTATTAGATTCATTTTAAAATCCGACTTTCTGGGAAGTGAAGAAGAAGGACATAGGAAGAACATAAAGGGAGAAGAAAATGGGRAAAAAAAGTCTATTTGAATTCTTTCTCTTTTTTATACTTGAAGTACAAGAAAATATTAATAAAAAAAGTATTTTTTTATTTTTAAATGGAATCCATTAATCAGCTCTGAGTATAGTACTGGTGTCTATACTAAACTTCAGTGGTTTTAAGAAATGCTCAACTTCTGTGTTCTCGCAGTGCAGTGGGAATATTAGTCCTGGGGCAGAGCACTCACCACATGTATTGGGTGTCCCAGAGCAGTSTCTGCCACTGGCGTAGACCATGGCCATCTCCATGCTGAGGTCTGGAAAAGGGCAGAGATCTGGTGCACTCATGCACTGATAATTGGAAGTTATCACATAGCTGTGAGTGTCTTGGGAAACAATCTGATTCTGATTGATGGTATGTGACCTGAATGACAAACTTCTGTTTCAGCTGTTTAAGACTTATTGCCTTGGAGAGAAACTACTGGATGAGAGAAGGAATACAAAAGGCTCCCTGAATAAAATGAGCATGCTRGCTGCCTTCACAAAAGCATATATTTTCCATATTCTGAGGTCTTCAGTCCTGCAAGGGCTCTAAGCACAGAATTCCATGAGGAATGGTGGCATATGAATATATTTGCATCTCAGGGAACTCATGGAATCTAGGTATCATTGTGGCTAGTAAAATTATTGTCCCATGCTGATTTGTTAGGCTGAATATTTACATTAAGGCCGCAAAAGGAAAAAAAAAAACATAAAAACCACTAATGGCAACTGCTGAGCTCTGTGGAGACTCCGTCCAGAAGCACAAAATAAAAAGTAATGAAAGCTATATGAAACTTTTGTATCATGACAGCATAATTTCTGATGTATTTCACTCTGCCTTAAAAGTTTCTTGATAATATTGGTCACAGAACTGGTGCAATTAGACCTCCCCACAAATGCTGTCCTTTTCCTGTGAAGCAGTTTAGATGGTGCAGTTCACAGGGGTTGTGTGGAGCCAATACTTCTGCTCATGGAAGTATTTTTACAGACTTTGTTACTTTTCGTATGCTAAAACCCAGCTGCCCTGAAATGCCTTTGCTCCACGGAGAAGCTGTGGCAGTTTAGTCAGTAGAATATGTGCCCATGTTACCCTGTAGCTTGATAACATGTGGATCAGCATGTCCACAGCAGTACACAGCTGCTGTACTCTGAGTGGATCATGACCTTTTTGAGGGCCTCCACTGACCTTGCTTTCTGCTGTAGTTGTCTGGGACTGCTTCGTGTAGACTGAGTCTTTGACAGGGCTTTGGGGTGGTTTGGGGAGTGTGCAGAAGATGGGCAGCCCACTGATGACATGATGTRGCGTCTGCAGTGACACACTAGTACCATCCAGATGAACCGGCACCTGAGCTTTGTCATCAGCTTCAGTGACCTGCTGAAGTTCAAGAGAAATTAACTGGCCTTCACCAAGATAACTTCTCTTAAGCAACTAGCAAGGCAGCTTTGCTGATGGTGTCTTTGAAGGGCAGCTAGGTCTGGAATTGGGAGAAAGCAATTCCTTCCAAACAAGGAAGGGCCTATCCCAAAGCTCAAGGAAGTAACCTGCCCTTGATTTCTTTCAGCTTTGGATGAGAGCCACAGAGGATAGACAAGAGCAGAATTCTCAGCCCCRGGGAATGCCAGTGTTTAAAGCTGTATAGGTTTTCACTGATCTGTCATCACTGAACACTACCTCTTGCTAAGCTATTAAAGCCATATTCACATGTCCCCGAGATTTTGTGAGAGATTAATAACAGTGAAATGATTGTTACTTAATTACAGGTGCAAAGTATTAGGGAAAGTTACTATACAGTGGAAGCACCTGCAGAAAAGACCTCTCAGTATAGATCCTTTACATGGCTAGAGCTACATTACTAAGATAAAGTGTAGGCATAATGACCCTTAGGAATCTCATGAAAGGATTAATTAATAAATGTTGAAGTGAGTTTGATAAAGGAAGTGATCACATGGGTGAGGTATATACCCAAGTGAGTATAAATCACTTAGTACTGACTTTGCTGAAATCCATTTGTTTTCCATTCAACTGCTTTGAATAATATTTCTCCAGGTAAGCTTTTCTATAAGAAAGAAACTCTATAATATTGGAATCAGGAAGTAAAAATTTAGAATAAAATTACTTAAGATTGTAGATCTGTATACTAATGCCCAAGTAAAAGATTTGAGATAGAAGGCTGAAGTAAAATAATTAAAGTTCTTAGATTTATAATCTTATTTCCTGATGAAATATTACAATATTTACTTAATAAACCTGAATGCAATAATTGATCTAATTCCTAGGAAAGCAGATAATCAACAGTCAATATATATTTGAAAACTGATAAGTAAATGTTCATTTGTTTGTCTATAAAAATGCAATGATTGATTTAGAAAAAAATATTCTAAATCCAAGTGACTGTAGTTCGAAACCAATCTATTATTTATCATTTAATCAATGTTAGTGAAAAGCTTTGGCCTTCAGAAGAATACCTAATAYACATTTTCTGAAAGGACAAGTACTTGAAGATCCCCCGAAAATATAGCATGTATAAATGGGAAATTATATATTAGAAGAATTTCTACATAAATTGGAGTGAATGTTTGATTAGAAAGTGGAAGATATTTTTAAGTGATTTGTAGAAATTATTATAATGGATTGCAGATTAACTGGCCTCAATAGAAGTAATTTTAGGATGTTAGCTCATTTATAAAGGATATCACAATATCTATATTTAAAAAGAGCGTAAAAACTAATTGAATATTTTGTTAGATCATATAAACTATGAAGACTAAAAAATACAAGTAAATTCAAGTACAGTGAAACAATTTGGAATAGCCTGTTTACTTACTTGAAGCAATACCTAACCAAATATTGTTAATCAAGATTATGGAGAGTATTGAAAAATAAAATGTGTGTGTACGTAAGGTTTATCTTTGGTGTAATATGTGTGCTAGCGGTAAAAATAGCATTGAAATAAGCAGAAATTTGGCTGGGGACAAATAACGTTTTTCTAAGCTAATGTCTTCCCACTCTCAGATTCGAGACATAACATTTTGTGTAATATTTTACTTAACTCATCAGGCACACCTGTTTGCTGCATGACTTTTTCTTTCCTTTAGATTTAACCAAAAATGATTGTAATTCTGCTGATGTCTATGACAATGGTGTTGTACAGTGGTAAGTGGCCATGCATTTKTATGATTATTTGGCATTTATGCCTGAATTCTATTTAAGTATGCACATTTGGAAACAAACCTTTAGAAACAAGCATTCTGCCTCTCCAAATGCACTTGTTCGAAACCCAGAAGTTCTTCACTAAGTGTCACCACAGGCAGTCATAAAACAAATTTCTCTCAGGACTTGTAGTGAAGAAAGAAACATCAGGTGGGCTTAAAATTTACACAAAATTGAAGATTTCTGCTGGCGTCTGATCACAGAATAAATCCTTTAAACTGAAAAAAATCCTCACAAATAACACATGCAGAGATTCTAGGCATTAAAAAAACACATATTATCTAAATTCTACAAAGCATGCAATGGATCCTGAAACAGAAGTGATGTATAATACCTTCTTGAAGTTTTACTTTGAAAAATATGTTTTTCTTCCTATAATTCTTTTTTTTTTTTTTTTTTTTTTTGCCATCACATGGAGAATAAGCTTCCAGCTGAACCAGTGACAAGGA